GAGATAATTGACTTCAATTGTAGAAGACAAAATACTGTCCAAATAATGTATGAGAAGAATACCATCCTTACTTTTATGGTGAAACTCTGGACAGAGAAAAGGAGGAAGCTCAGCGCTGCAACATGGACAAGCATGACTGCTTCTAGAATAAGCGACCATGAATGTACCAAGCGAAGTGTTTCACTTTATATATGGTAAAGGCAACCTATTGTGATCCATATATGGCATGTTGCTTATAAGGATGGGCAAGGAAGTACATATGACAACACCTTGAATTGCAGCACCATCTTCACATTTAAACACAATCCAAGTTTGGAAAAAATGTATCTGAAATGAAAAAGATAATATGCAACATGTATCTAAAAATCATTAACAGTATTTATTTTCATGGGAAGTTGGATCACGGTTCTGTTGCACAATTTGTATGCCCTTTGTGTGGACTGGTGAATGGGTTTCACTTTCTGTTCACAGCACTTTTTTAGGTGTCCTCTCATTCATCTGGCAACACATTTATCACCGCATGCATCTGTGCATTCCTGATTTAAAAAAAAAAAAAAAAAAAGAGAGAATATCCTTGTATGAGCGTATTGGAGGTGTTTGATTGTCCTATTGATCCTTGGAGCTAAGTTGCCTGGGGCTTTATGCCCCTGGCAGGGTCACCCATGGTAAACAGGTCCTTGGGGAGGAAACAGACCAGTCCCCGGGGCCTCCCTCTGGAGCCAGGCCTGAGGTGGGGCTCGACGGTGAGCGTCTGGTGGCTGGGCCTGCACCCGTGTGGCCCGGCTGGGCTCAGTTTCCTTACCATGGGCTCGCCACCTGTGGCAGGGGCCAAAGAGGTCGGGTGCTCAGTGAGCTGGGTTACAGTCAGAGGCGGGGACCTTGGCTGTCCGATCCCCAGCTACAGAAGCTGGCCTTGGGGGTGTGGAATTTTGCCAGATATTCAATCCAGCCCTGGCAGCCACTGTGCTTACTGAGCTTGGGCTGGTGTCAGTGGCCTGTGGTACCGGTGACATGGTAGCTCTGCCGCCCAGATCACGTTGCTCCGCTGCATTCATACGCGGGTGTAGATCCTCCAATGCAGCAAAAATGACCAGCAGAAACTCAGCTTCTCAATGTTCGCAAGTCGACATAAGACAAATTATAATAGATCATCTCCCACAACAACTTTACCCTCAGCAGAGGCATAAATCGCAGGTTAAGATTGAGAATTCACCAGAGAGACATCTAACGACCAGATGCCACATCGCGAATGAAGGTTTACTGTGATGTAGAACTCTCTTCGATTAAATGTTTTTTTCACTAGTTTGTGTCAGTGTCCATAATATTGTGGGTGGTTGGCACGTTGCAATGGAATGACAGGCCATTCACACACAGATGACACATCATCAGTTCTTACTTGCATCAAGAAAAGACAGATCATAGGGTGTAACACCTCTTCTGTGTGTGTAGTAGTACCGTATTTTCCACACTAAAAGGCGCACTGGATTATGAGGCGCACCTTCAATGAATGGCCTACTTTGTAATTTTTTCATATACTGGACGCACCACATTATAAGACGCAATCTACAATGCATCCAGTAGATGGAGCAACTCTCAAGGAAATGTCAACAGAACGATCAGATGTCAGTAAAACGTAATTTAATAAAGCAGAAACACAGTTCACTTTACCAACAGCAAGTTATAACATTGACTCGTTAACGTTGAACTCTCTTGCCGCTGCTCTATTTTCGTGTTCAACTGTGTAACCGTTGTCTTGAGTTTGAACTCTGCGTTGTAAGCATGTCTCTAGCAAGGAGCCATTTTGGGATCGACGTATTACCATAATGACCATACACAAGGCGCATCGGATTTTAAGGCGCACTCTGAGCTTTTAAGAAAATGGAAGGCTTTTAGGTGCACCTTTTAGTGCGGAAAATACGGTACTTGGAAAAAGTTGGATACTGGAATTTTCCCAAGTTTTTCACTTGTGTTCTTGAAATACTCATTAAAAAAAAATCCACATTTATTGCTGTGACAGTTGTTACGTAAACAGCAACGACTTTGTGAAATATTTCAAACTTCCTACCATAGAAAGGCTCGAACAAAGAGGAAGTATCTGGCTCAACTGCTTGTATGGCAACATCACCTGAACTCAAAATTTTTTTTTTTATGCATCCATCCATTAATCATCTGAACCGCTTCTCCTCACGAGTCTTGTGGATGTGCTGGAGCCTATCCTAGCTGACTTCGGGGAATTGTTTTCTACACCTCCTTTGTCCTCACAATGGTTGAGCTACAACTGGGCTTTGTAAAAAAACAAAAAAAAAAAAACAAAGGGGGGTGCGGTTAAATTAATCAAAGGGACACTCAAAGCGGTCCACCAGTAGCCCATCCCTGCCTGAAATGAAATGGTTGCAGTTATGCTTTGCTATCCAGTCCCTTCCACTTAATTATACAGAAAGCATCCTTATGAGAAGAAAACCAGTCCATGTTTTCACTGTGACTATGCTTGCAGTGGTATGTGCTTCTGCCGGGTATACAAAGTCTGCAGAATCAAAGCAGCATGAGAAAATAATGTGAAGGATGGACTGTAATTAATTACTTCTAATGTATAATAACCATAAATAAATAGATTTGCTTCAGTTCATAATTTGAGGTAAAGAGAGCCTTTATGGTGGTTTATTATCCATATCCGCAAACCACTGAAATATCTGAGGCCTACGCAGACCGTCGGTTCATTTAAATTTGGGCTGAAAACATTCATATTCACAGTAGCATTGTGATTAATCGAGCCGTTCTCTTGTTTTAATCCCCATTTGCACTTTGCACTTATCTCAGCTGATAATTGGTTTTAATCATTTCAATCTAATTATTTGAGATGATTTTCGTGTGATTTTTGTTTTTGTGTGAACATTTGCTTTCCCTTTCTGTCATGCTTTAAATGTTTTAGATTAAAGCACTTTGAATTGTCTTGTACATGAAATATACGAGACAAATAAACTTGCCATTCTTGTGAACATTCATTTTAGTGTAAAAAGCATGTTGTGTCTTTGCATATATATCCATGCCATTCATGATTGACTGATTCAGGACGGGGTGTTCCATAAGTCTCCACACATAGGAAAAAGAAATGTTTCTTGACATAAACCACACGAATGCTTGCCATTAGGGTGATTTCAATTCGTTGCTCTTTCGTCAAATGCATTCTCAGGGTTATCTGGAATATAAATAAATCCAAATTACAACCATAGATGTCAGAAATGTATAATTTCTCCTATATTACACCCTGTATAAATGTGATCAGTTCATGGAGTACACAGCCTCTCGCCCACAGCCAGATAAGATAGCCTTGGGTTTTTTTTTTTTTTGGGGTTCTCATATTTGCACAGCCCTCATTGGTTATTACGGGGTTGCAAGATTTTGCTTTCAGGTCACTTCTCTATTTGTGGAAACAATTGCTTCGTGTACTTGCTTGGCAAACAGTCTTGCACAGTCTTTCGCAAGAAAAGCGACTATAGAAATACATTCGCATAAATGCATGTAACCATTTGCATGTGAGGTGACACTGAAATATTGATCACAGAATTTGCTTGGAATTCATAAGCTTGCTGTATCTACGTCCACTTAATGAGCTTGTCCACTTGAAGGTGGACTAGTTAACTCGTTCATGAAACAAATATGCAAAATGCACTTTTTTGTGCGAGAAAACGATGCTATATTGACAATATTAACTTCATTGCATTTTCGACAACTGGTAGAGGAAGTCAGGGCACTGCACAAGCAGTGTGGCGTGGATGACAAAGGGTCAAAGATGGATCTTGTCATGAGACTGTCAGTGAAAATGTCGAATAGAGTCGCCCACAGTATGCAGCAAGGTGTTTCAGAAAGTGTGGGCTGCCTCTGTGGTCAGTGAAATGACATGGAGTGTTGAAGATCATTACACTTACATTGTTGTGTCTAACCAAATGACAATATCATTATGTAGGAGGTTGTCTATCCATGCTCCTAAAGTCATTGCTGGGGTTTTTTTTCTCAGTTCCACAGGTGGTTGGCAGTTATCACTTGCCCATGTCGGCTTGTGTATTCAGTCAAGTTCAACCTGAGAGCAGAGAGTCCACGTGACCTTGTGGATCTCTTGCTGTCTTGGAAACACTTTCCCAATGTGTCAGTGTGTGATTATGCCAGGGGGCTGCCACAGCACGCTCACCGCAGGTAGCTAGGAATATTTGCCCCTTTTTCGAGGAAGGTTAGTGGCTTCCATCCCAGAGAAGGTGAAGCTGGCCTCACAGGCCAAGGTTCGTGTCAACATGCAACAGCTTAAGTTTCCGAAGATGACAGCTGCCATAGATGGGCACCGTCTCACTGGGTCCTCACAGCATTTTGCTTTGAATGATGTTTTGCGCCAGGGAAAGAGCAAAGACCCGAGTGAGGTTCTGAGAAAGCTTGAGCTTGTGCCAGAGCTTGCTGTGGTATTATTATTCACAGCCAGTGTGCGGAGCGGCTCTTTTCTGGCATGAGGAAGAACAATGACTTTTTCAGTCTAACAACCCCATCAACACACATATTTCGACGATGAAACATTCTCCATCATTACAACGTGGCAAGGAACCAAAAAAATGAAAAAACAGTTCAGAACCATTGTTTGTCCAGATGTTGCAATGCAGTGTGACAGTTGTGGAAGGGTAGTTTTAGGTATGTTATTAAATATTTATGTACATTGCTCTTGCTCTATATGAGCTAATAATGGATGTACCGTTTTTTTTCACTCCAGCTCACTCTCCATCTTGTGCAATGTCGATGGCATCATCTGGCGAAGAACAGGACAAGTCTCAAGAGTGTGAGTCATTGCTCTATTTTACACGTCATTCGAAGGAGAAATGTGACAGTTCAATCTTCTTCTGTTGTTGCTTTTTTCACAAGTAAATGATGACAGTGAGCAGAGACCTCATGCAGACTTGACTAGTCTCCACAAGTTGTCAGTACACAGAGCATGCAGGGCACAGGAACTCCGAGGCAGACAGGCCACTGTGGTTATCGATGAATGTTGTTTACATAATAACAAACAAATATACAGGTATATACTTTGTTTTCTTCCACCAGCTCTCTCATGTCTTTGATAAGACGAAAAGTCACACACTACATCTTGCAGTGGTGAACAACATCATCCTGACCCGCTTTGACTTTTGGACTCTGGGTTTGCACCAGGACATGGAGGGAACAGTAAGAGAATTTTCTTTGTTTGTATGGTTTAGGTCAGCGGTCCCCAACCTTTTTTGATCCACGGACCAGTGTAATGTCAGCCAATATTTTCCTTTAAGGTGTGATGGATAAATACACCAAAATAATGTGATATGACCCGCATGAAAAATGTGGTATTTTCGAAACATAATAACAAACACGAATCATGACATGAGGAACGTCCTATCTGGCCGCAACACTCTCTGGTTGCTATGATCACTTGTAAACATGCCTTCAAAATAAGATACAACGCAAATTCAAAGTGCATGAAAATTACGACTCACCATCGCCGCATATTATGCAGATTGGGCTTGTTGCGTGAGAATCTCCTCTTGAGATAAATCCGTATTTTAAGTATGACTCTGTTACTGTCTATTAAATGTAGCCATCTTTTTCTTGAACGTCGTAGGCTCCTCTTCTGTCTCCTGGCTAGGCTTTTTCCCCTTTCCAAAGATACTTTCCAAAGATGATTTTTTTTCTACTCATTTTGCTAGCTCCTGGGTTTCATTTTAGCGGTAACCAATCATGTGACCGAGAAGCGCTCCTTCACCTGCGTCAAGAGTAACACACTGTAGACGGATGTTGCAGAGAATCCGCTAACTTTTCAAAATAAAATATCTTTCAGATTCCGAAATAAATAAAACTGAATTAATGTAAGTCCTTCATTGTTTTGTGCGGCCCGGTACCAATGGCCCACGGAACGGTACCGGCCCGTCTCCCGGGGCTTGGGGACCTCTGGTTTAGGTGATACTTTTCTAAATCTTTCAGTAATATTCAATTGTGTTCATCTTACACATGAACGAGATTATTGTTATTGAGAAGGTGGTGTCTTGTCAAACACTTAATTCAAATGGACTTGATTGTCTCGTTCAATCGTCAATATACAGGGTGTTCCAAAAGTCTTGGGCACATTTGAAGTCTCCATATCTCCTATCACTATGAATGGTAGTAAGATAAAAGTCGTGCCATTTTAACGCTAATTACGTAACATTTTTCGGAAGGCTATTGATTTTTTTTATTTCTTTTTAGACCCATTAATGGCGTTCACTCAACCAGAAAGGGCGTTTTGTGTGCTTGAATTTGCAAAAACTGAATCATGGACTGTTGTTCAACGTGCATTTCGGAGAAAATTCGGAAAGAAGCCACCAGAGACAGATGACTGCTTATGTTTTAAGCTGAAGGCATGAATCACAGAAGCTGTTGCAACCATTGACAATGCAATGCTGGGACGCGTTTGGCAAGAATTGGACTATCGACTTGATGTGTGTCGTGTGACCAATGGTGGTCACGTTGAACATCTTTGAACATTCCATGTAAAAATTGAGATTATAAGCTTTCTGAATTTACCAGATGCGTTTTTATATCCTTAATACTTTCCGAGATATTCAATGTCAAAATGTGCCCAAGACTTTTGGAACACCCTGTATTTTGACAGGAAGAGATTTACATTTATCTCTGTTACAGAGATCAGGAAATGCGTTTGCTGCAAACAGGTAGGTGATATCCTATTGGTTCCCACCATCAACAATGAACCCAATGGATCACCTGCCTGGAATTTGTTTGAAATTTTGCTTTACTGTGTGAGGTGAAAGCATTTCATATTCAGCGATTTGTGTATTTTTAGAGGACAATGCTACCAGTCAATACTGAATGATTCTCCAGTGTTTGTCCCTGGATATTGGATATTATATTTTTTTCAGGATTTTACCCTCGCACAACAAAATTGCTCATTGCAGATTTGAATGTTTAGCTTTAACTCAAAGCTTACCATCACTGTTGGAATTTCAGGAACATTCCATAACTCAATACATCTGGTAATATACTTCATTGAAATTGGAACATTTAACTCAGGGGTGTCAAAGTCAAATGGACGGAGGGCCAGATAAAAATTTTTGCTGCAAGCTGAGGGCCGTACTGATCGAATGTTCATTGAAAATTTTAAAAATGACCACATATTGTTTATTGAACCAAATTTAATTGACTGAAAACCTAACAAATACATTCAAATATGGTCAGATAAATAAAGCAACATTTTTTTATTGCTATGTCAGTAAACTTTAATTTTCAACAGGCACAAAAAAAATTTCCTTTGTATAAAAATCCCTATAACATGAATGAAAGAAGCCGATATTATTCAAGGCACGATCAATAGTCCATATTTTCTCTTTTAGCAAAAGTAGGCTAAATTTACTTAAAAGAAAAACAAATAATAGTACAGTAATTTTCGATCATTTACTCGAATAAAATATTTTTAAAACATAATTGGATTGAAATACAATAAAATAAAGCGCAAAAATGGATAAACCAAAAACAACACTTTCTTCAAGGAGAAGTAACAAGCAGCGAAAGCAAATATTATACTTTAATTTTTAAACTTGAACTGAGTAAAAACTCTTAGTATGTGATTGCACAGTATATTATAAGTAATATTCACTTCTTTGAGGCTGAGGCTGATACTCGGTGGTGTCTTAACTTTTCTACAAGTTCATCAATATTTGGGGTCAGGCTCTGAGCTGAGCAAATCCTCAACATTGAGTGAGGGTGTTCAGCAGTAAATCGACTTCTGTGTGATGTTTTGTTCAGCTTCATCAAAGAAAATAGTTGTTCACACACGTATGTGCTGCCAAACTTTCGACAACGTTTGAGCAGCCTGGATGCGCAGCGGGGCCACTGTCTCGGGGAGGAAACGGGCAAACTGCGCAGCACGCACTGCCGTATCTTTGCAGAAACACTGCAATTGTGTTTCTGCTAATGCTCACGTTTAAAAAGAGTTGCTTTTTTTCGGGGTAAACTTCGTCACAAACTTTAAGTATACCGTTTTTAATGAAATCCCCCTTCCCCCTCCATGTCCATGTTCTTGTTTGCGTGTTTCGTTTCATGATGTCGTCTCAGATTACACTATTTCAATCGCGCCACACTTTCTACGCACAGAAGACACACAGGTTTTCCAGCTACGTCCATGAACATGTACTTCGACTGCCACCTTGTTTGAAACCCCCGGTTCTCAGTGTCCACCTTCCGTTTTGCCATTTTTGATGGGTATCTGAAAGCTAATGTCACTGTTATGGGAACGACTGCTAGACTAATAAATGTTTAAATAAAGCGTGTAAAAGATCTGCGGGCTCTCGGCTTGCTGCGGTCCGCGGGCCGGTTCTAATAATAAATCAATATCATCCCAGGGGCCACTGAAAACATTCTCGCGGGCCGGATTTGGCCCGCGGGCCGGCACTTTGACATATGTGATTTAACTGATACTGAGGCCACAAGCTAGGGAGATTTTTTTTTTTTGTCAAGATCCCCTCGGTGGCGGCGGTTGGAGGAATGAGAGGAGAACCGAAACAGGTTTTTAGCACACCTCACTTCATCCGATCTGGACAGTGGTAGTTTTATTTTACACCACTTGTCCTTTTGTTTGTTCTGATCAATGGTTCTGTTTTTAGATGATTCCCTCTTCAAACTAGTTTGATTCCCTAAATAGAAACAGCAAACAATATCCTGCGGAATTTTATTTGGGTGGGGCACTTCTGTTTAAGCCTATTGAGAAAAGGTCCACCTATGTCTCCTGAGCCCAAGACATGGGAATTTTTTTAAAATTTGTGACCACAATATGAATATAACATGCACACAAAATGCTAATTTGTGGCCATGAAACACTATTAGAGGTGCACAAAATCCAAATTTGTGGGTGAAATTCTCAACTTTGACATCTGAGTAATAAAATGGTGTGCAAGTGGAAAGGCGAGTGTCTTTGAGGAGTCTGTTCTTGTCAGTGCCAGTTTTTTTTTTCCAGTAGTTTCTCATGAACAGGGTTATATGTCACGTTATGTTACTTTGAGCTCGTGAATTTCCTTGTCCGTCATCGTACCGCTGATCACCTGTGTGGCAATGAGCGGCAGAGAGTGAGAGAATGGCAGAGAGAGTGTGAGAGAGAGAGAGAGAGAGAGAGAGAGAGAGAGAGAGAGAGAGAGAGAGAGATAAGGCAGATGTGTACGTGCAGTCTTCACATGTGGTTTGTTTTAAATAAATACGAGTTTACTGTCATGTCTTCAACAATAAAAAAACGAACCAACTGAAAATCACTCATGGAGTTCCTCAGGGGTCAGTGCTTGGTCCAAAACTATTCATCTTATATATAAATGATATCTGCAAGGTCTCAAAACAATTTAAATGTGTCCTATTTGCTGATGATACAACTTTCTACTGTTCTGGAATAAATCTGAAACAGCTCCTGACCACCGTAGAAAACAAATTAAACAAATTAAAAAACTGGTTCGACAGAAATAAATTGTCACTTAACTTGAAAAAAATCGAAGTTAATTGTTTTTGGCACAGGACCAATCAAACACCAAGCTAAAATTATGGTAAACTCAACTGAGATAGAAAGAGCGTATGAAACCAAGTTTCTCAGATTAGTAATAGACTCAAAACTATGTTGGAAGCCACATATCGATAACGTAAAAAGAAAAAGAACCAAAACCATAGGGATCCTCTACAAAACCAAGGATGTGCTAAATAAGAGATCTTTGTACACATTATACTCTTCATTATTATTACCATATATGAATTACTGTGGAAATATGGGGAAATGCCTGTAAAACAAACACACTGCCTATTCTAAAACTACAAACAAAAGCAATCCGAATTATTAATAGATCAAAATATACGGAACCCACAAATCCACTATTTATAAAATTAAATGGTTGACTTTAAAATCGCCCAATTTATGTACAAAGCACACAATAACCTGCTCTGCCAAAACATTCTGAAGTTTCTCGAAATTCGA